CGCGGCGCTGGGACGGGTCCGCGGGGCGCGTTGGGAGCGAAGCGCCGGGCGGCAAAGCCCGTGGGGTGTTCTCGGTGCGCAGGTACATGGAACGTAGTGCGTGAGCCAAATAAAACAGCGACAAGTTCAAAATACGTGGTTTAATTATTAAAATATTTTCATGGGGAAGGAGGAAAGTTGTTTTGTCTATCTTGAACCCTTGGGGGAACCAAAAAGTCGAAGGCAGCTTTAGCTTGGGCGGGGGCGGCACCGCTGGGATCGCAGGGACGGATTCCTCCACTGCGACTCCAGAGGCTGAATGCAGGACACTGAGGAAGAAGCCTGATCCTCACACCGAAAACCACTAGTTTTTTGGTTTTTTTCTTCTTTAACTGAAGAGCCGGTATCCTTATCTGATATCCTTAAATATTTCTTGAACACCGAGCCGACACGTGATCAGACCTGCGGGTCTTTTTAAACGGATGTAATCTATTACCTTTGAAAGTGTATTGGTCTTGATCAGAAATGGATTAAAAAAAAAAAAAAAAGATACGAGCTCATCTTTTCCATATGAATATAACATATTCCGTGTTTTCAACAACTGGAAGAAATTGAAGTGATCTTTTTGTGCTTGTTCAGATTAGCTTTATGGCCCCTTAAAGATTGAGAATTTCCCCTTTATATTTTTAGATGCAATTTTAACCAGACCTTCTGGTCTAAATGACTGTATGATGCATCTAAGGTTACAAATAAAACCACAATTCACTTCTGAGAACAGAAAAAATCAGGCCAGCTTGTCCTGCTCTCAGCTGTTCAGCACTATTTTCATACCAGCGTTTTCATCTGGTAGGGAATTTTAGCAGAGCTCAGATTTAGTCTAATGAGCTGTCAAATATTTTAAGCTTTGATTTTTAATACCTTCATTTGGCCTTTTAGTTATTTTCTTCCCTGAGATCATCATCACTTGTGTTATTTTTGGCCAGCATTTTAGACCTCACTGTTTTCTCAATAAGGTGATTTTATTATCTATTTACTTATTTCTGCTCTGACCCAGTGGCCAAGGCACATAGGGTGTGTAATACTGGGGCTCCACATTGAGTTAATAGAGATAAAAGCAGTCCAATCTGGTAAACATCAAGGCAAGTGAAAACAGATAATAACAAGAGCTGCTGGCTGGGAAATCCTGACTCGAAGGCAGCTGGCAGAGAAATTCAAGCGGAAGAAAAAAGGATTTTTTCAGATGCCAGAGCTGGTCAGAGCTGGCTGAATCCACATTCACTTAGCAATCAAGATACTTTGCCAAGCTGAGGCACACCAGCAAAACAAACAAATGGCTCTGGGGACCTGAGAGAGAAGACACCTGGAACTGGGCAGATCCGGATCCAATTAAGATTCCCTTTCTGACAAGGCAAACACAAGTGTGAAGGACTTACCTCCTACAGAACATATGCTGGGTTGCTTGTTTGGTTTTTGTTTTGGTTTGGGTTTTGGTTTTGGGGGTTTTTTTTCCACTTGTTTTGGTATGTATTTAAAGGTAACACAAATGGGTTTTAATTTAAACCTCTCTACACCCTCTCTTTCAAGATTTTCTAGGAGAGACCTTTCCCACTGTTTCAGGTTTGGTCTTCCCCAGGCACAAGTCTGGGTACTTCTGGGCAGCTCTTTCTAGATTTCTGTTTCTGGCTTTGACCACCCAGGATATGCTGAGGCGGGACAGAAAAGAGGAGAATTATGAATTTAAAAGAGCTCAGTTTGGGACAAATAAAAACTCCAACTGTTGTTACTCTATCTAATAGAAAATATGCCCAAAAATGGAGGCTGTGGGCATAAAATGGCTCTTTTCCACTTGCAAGGTTTTGACATTGGCCCTTTACAATTAAATAAACTAATATTGTTTAGGGGTTACATTAACAAGCAATAGCAATGCAGCCATATGCCTCACAGGATAAACCAATCCTGTTTGGTTTTACAACTGCATTTTAGTTTCAATTTTTCAAATTCCTTGAGTAGCCAAATGTCATATTTTCCAGCCTTATTGTTATCCTCATTCTCAAATCATTAAAAATGTTTAGAAAATATCAGCCCTCCAACAAAGTTACAGTTTTGGCTAGGTTGAAACCTGACCATTTATTCTGAGATGAATTCCAGTTGTTTCCTTCTTTCATTCGAACAGCCATAGTGTGCATGTTATATATACCTGCATGACATTGTCCAGCAGGTGTCCAAGCCCAGTCCAAGGGAGCCAGGTGCTAAAGGAACACCAGCAGAAGGTGAGCATAAGGAAGAGATGGTGTCAAAAATAGAGTGTGACAGTGGTTCCTCAGAAAACAGTGAGGAAATTCCATACTGGGAAATATTTCAGTCCTGGCTTTGAGTGGGCTGACAAATTTTTCTCCCAAGCAAATTTAAGATGAAGGGGAATTTTGATATTGTGAATTAGACAAGATAACCTTTAAAAGATGCCTTCCAACGCAAACCATTCTGTGATTCTATGATTAAGAAGTGGATGAGGTAGTAGTTGCTTGGGAAGAAGTGAAGATGGCTACATAGAAGAGAGAGACAGGCAGGGAATTTCCCCTCTCCAGAAACAGGGCAGTTTGGCTTCATGGAATGGGCAAAGCATGAAGGGGAAGACTCCAGTTTAAATAAGAAGGAGGATGCATATGAGTCACTTCTCTTGGCTACTGGCCACCTATTTTCAAGAAAGAGTGTTTCCATGTGCTGAACAGCTCAGCCTGTGGTTTTCACCCAGGACACATGGGCAAGAAGACAGGGCTGGGGATGCAGACTTGTCATCCCCAATCTGCCGCTACCACCCCCCACGCCCATTAGGGCCACCCCTGTGCCACGCACCTGCCATGGTGGCAGCAAGGCTGGCTTTCCAGGCACAACTGGGTGATGTGCTGGCAGCTGGTTTATCGTCCAAGCTATGCAGATGCTGGCAAGGGCCTGCTCTGCATGTGCCCACAGCTGGCTGTGGAGAGCCTGTTGCGTGGAGAGCCAGCCGTGGGGTGTGGGGCTCAAGGGCTCTGCTGTTCCAGAGAGGAGAGGGAAGGAGAAGCCCAAAGGCTGTGATTCTGTGCTACCAGACTGCTGCAGCCCAGTCTGGCCCACCACTAGGACAAACTGCCAAAGCTTTCAGAAAATCTAATCAAATAATCAGACAATCCTCCTTTAGATACATTTTTACTGACAAGCCCAAAGAGATTGAAGAAAAACAGATGGTTTTCCAATATAAAAAGTATTGTAAAACCCTGTCCCTGTTAGGGTCATTTGTAAGTCCATCAATTATATTTTTTAAATTCCTGCTAACCAATTTTCTTTGCCATTATATAACTCCATTATAACCAATTATTCAGACCCATGTTACCACTTTTTCTGAAGATACTTTGCTATTATGCTTGTCTTCAAACACCTGCCAAACACCTTCAAACAACAGCCTCTACTAAAAACACAGTGACTCCTGGAGGTCTTGTGAGCCAACCTATTCTGGCTGGGATTCTCCCAACTTCTGAACTTCCTTGATGGACAAAAAAAATCACTGTTTACTTTGTGCTGAAAAAAGGCGTGAATGACTCTTTCAGATAAACAGCAGTTTCTACTTACATCCAGAATTCCACAGTGTGCTCAACTGGTTTTTTTACTTCATTTGTGATAATATGTTAGCCACCCAATGTGCAGTTCCCTTTTTAAAAATTTGGGGGATGAGGCCTCATTCTTAGTAAGTACCTTTGTATTTTGAAACAAAATACAAGAGCAGCAGCCATGATGGTGGGCTTTGCAAGCAGTGTGTGTTATCACACTACAGCTCAGAAAAGTTTTTCAAGTGATGGCAGGAACACATGCTGGCTGCTTCTGATTACACAGAAGACCTAGTTTTCATGAGTTCTCAAATTTCATCCAATGGATATACAAACAGATGGCCAATCTGTTTCATTCTGTACTTATCAATAAAGGACTATGAAGTCACAAAACACAGCATCATATGAGATGGGAGGCATGGCAGGAAGGCCATAAACTGACCTGCAGGCAAACCTGCCCTTCTCCCCAGCAGGTCACCAGGGCAGGACTATATTTTAGAAGAAGCAAAAATATGGTTGTGCATTGCTGGGCTAGCACAAGATAGAGCCTGTGTCAGTCAGGTGGAGTGGCTGGTAACATGGATCTGCACACTCAGAGCCCAGGCAGGAATCGCTGAGATGTAGAGTACCTTCAGGTCTTTAGAGCTGGCAGGCTGGGAGGGGGGTTAGTCTGTGCCAGTCCACTTAATCTACTTAGCTCTTCCTATTTTCTTAATTTTGCACTTTACTGTTTCTATGATCTCTGCCTCTTCTGCTCACCACCTTTTCCACAAATGCTAAATGCTAAACGTGGAGACTGAATAGGAAATAAAAATTAAAAACCTGTCATAATCAGAATTAGCAGGATAAGAAAAGAAGCTTTCAGGTGTCACACTTTGTCCAGCCTTGTTCTCTGGAACAATTTCCCTGCTTTCCCCAGGACAATTCAGTCTGTTATTTCTTTCTTCAAATCATGCCTGAAAGCCATTCTTTCCCCTTCAGATCTCAATTTGCTTTCTCAGTAAAATGGCTGTGGCTCCATGTGCAAATGGAGTGACACAAAACCTAAGTGCCCTACCTGGATCTAGGACAATGGTGGCCTTTAAAGAAATGGCAAGCCAGTTATCTTTGGAGTGCTGAGCTGTACCTGTGCTAGCACTTAACCTTTACTTCCCCAATCACACAGATACAATAGTTAGACCTTGCTGATTTTGTTATTCCTTTGGAATAAGTTTCCTTAAAATAGCCTAGCCACAAGGGTGTAATGAGGTGCACAGCTAGGCAAAGCTTTTTGAGCAGCAGGTGGAAAAAGAAAGAACATATGTGGGACCAAAATGCTTTGAGCCTGCAAATGACTGATCTGCAGTCATTCAAATGGCTAAAGATTAAGGACTCATCTAACTAGATCAGAAAAAAACCCAGACAAACAACCCCTCTCCCCCAAAAAAACTCAAACCCAAACCCAAAACTAAAAAACCAACAACAACAAAAAACCCCCAAGCACTGAAAAACTACCAAATTTGAGGAATACCAGGCAAAAACAGCAGGAAAGAAAAAGGGATAAGGGAGTAATATTTATATCTTACATGCTGCATTTTCTCTCTGCCTTCCTATTTTACCATGGAGCAAAGATACCAATAGTCATTCTACAGGAGGAGACTATAGAACTCTTACTTTAAAATTCAGCTCTTTAATCAGGGACCCAGAGATACCTAGAGCTCTTCTCCCACCTCAAGAACTGCAAAAGGGCTGTGAGTTTTTTGTGCCTGGGAGCCTACAGAACCCAGACTTGCCAACACAGCACTAAAAGAAGTTGATTTTGCTTGAAATGGGCTATATTAATCTTCTTACTTTAAATGCAGCACATTCTGTTGGTCATGTGTACATATTATAGATCAAACAAAATCAATTTCTCCATTCTGTCAATTCTACCCAAGGGAAAACATAGCAACAACAATTCACCCCTGAAATCCTCTTCCCAATACTTTTTCAAATACAATGACAGTGAACTAAAGTATTCCAGTCACTAAAGCTTCTAGAATTAGATATCCACTGTCAGTCTAGTATCACACTATCCACTCTAACATTATACACCTTCAAGATTTTAAGTATTCCTGTGCAGGATTCACACCTTCAGGATTCTAAGTATTCCTATGCACACAGCCACCATGGCATTCAGCATGCTAATTTTAAAACCTGCTTCATCTACTGTTCCAAAGACTGATACAAAGGAGTGTTGCACACACATGCAATGACAGGGAAGAAGGCTATTCTAATGTCCAAATAATTTGATTTCTCTGCATTTAACTTGAATATAAATTAACTGGAGAAAGCATTGGTAATATTTTTATGTATTAGTGGGCATAAGAGCAGCAAATTAACTGCCAACACTGTATAGCCACCACAAAACACACACCTCCCCCAGGCTCAAACACCTTCAACTTATTACCATTTAGAAATAGGTAGAGAGAGAAAGAAGGTCTGATCATGCCTTAACCTAAAATAACGTTTTGCTTTGTCAGGTTAATTATATGTTCTGACATCAGAAACTGAAATTAGCAGGCGATTTTCCCTTGGGTTGCCCAGAGACTGTAGAATGAATCATGCCTGCTCTTGTGCTGCACCCGGGACCACAGAGAACAAGGGATGGAAAGACCAATATATTTATTTCCTTGCTCTGATCTCTGTGGCTAGAGAGTCATAGCCACGATCTGGCTTTGTAGGGGCTGTGATGTGGCTGGCTGGTATTGCTGTCATCCCAAGTGCGGCAGAAAAGGCCATCAGCTTCCAGTGGGTGCACAAAGACATATTCACTGCTTTCCTTTCATCCTGGTGTGAATCGTGGCACCAGAGTTTCTCAAAATGTCACTGAAACTTTCTGAAATTAATTTGACATGACAACAGTGTTCAACACGGGGCACTCTCATTGGAAAAAAAAAAGCCAGGCAGACCTTTTAGCACTTGAATACACAGAAAACACTCTCCAAGTAACTAAGATACCCTCCTCGTCCTTACAGCTATTTAGCACAAGATACCCTGAAGTTACCCTAAGCCTTAAATCTTAGAAAAAGCACCCAGACATATCTTTTACTTGTCTCTTTCTTGGTTTTTAATACCTAAGGTTCTCCTGGCATTTTGTTTCCATGGTGGCTATTTTCAAACTACTCCCGCTCTCAGGCCCCTTTTCCCCTCATCCATTCATGCTGTTAAAAGCTCCCTACCTGGTGCAGCAGAGCAGCCTGCGGTTACCTCTGTTCACCCCTGCCCGCCTCCCTCCTTCCTGGGGCTGCTCCTGCCGAGCTTCGCCTGCTCCTCTTCCTCTCGCGGAGCTCCCTCTGCTGTTGGATGCAGCTGCGAGCCCGCGGAAAGCCCGGGCGCTGCTGCGGGGCGCACGGATCTCCGGCGGGCAGGATGGAGATGGATCTCCTGCTGGGGCAGGGTAGAAGGAGCGGCATCTTTGCTGAACACCCCGCAGGGTTGCTCCTTCTGTCCGAGTGTCAGAGCAATAGGAAAAATTGCCTTTGTGTTCTGTCTCCAGCTGTTTAGCATAAGATATGAGCACAATGGTGTGGAGTAGCTGCAGACCCAAACTGCTGCTTAATTACAAGAGATAATATAGGAAAAGAAGGGAAAACTCTGTCAGAATTAATGAGCGAAAAATAAGACCCCAGCCTGTGAAAGCCATGTGCTTTTCCTGCCTGCTGTAGGCAGACTGGCCTCACACTGGCAGCCGTGCTGGAGGGCACCTACACACTTCAGGTGCCGGGAGGTATGTGCCAGCAGGCCAGGCTGAGCCAGGACATGGGAGATTTAGCCCCCAGCCCCATGGCACATGGGCATGAGGAGGGGGGATGCTCACCCTCCCATCGTTCCCTGCAGAGCTATCCCCTCGCCATGCGGCACACAGGCACCTCACCGCTGACAAGATGCTCAGCAGCTCTCGCTGTGCTGCACTTTGGGATTCCTAGGATTGGAGAAAGAGAGCAAAAGACACCCATTTAGCAGCAGTGAGGGGGTCGGGCCTCAAAACCTGCCAGTAACTTGTGGTGGTTTCTGCAAGGGCAGAGCCCTGCTGCCCTGCTGCCCAGGGATGTGCACGGCTCCATGCCCACCCTGAGCAGTGTGACACGGAAATGCACCGAGCTGTCCCCTGCTAACGCTGCCACCTTGGCACACTTGTTGCATTTGCCTTCCTATGTTGCCATAGGAACTACAGCCCCAGCATCTGCTCTGCTGCTCCCTGCCACACTGCCTGTGCACCCCACTGGGCTCAGCCCACTTCTGCTCCTCTGCCAGCCTGATCATGCCTACCCCTCTCTCACAAACTCCCTGCCTCATCCTCTTTTTTGGGTGACAATCAGATTACTGCTGTAGCAGTTAATTATCGCATTAGCTATAATTTGCCTATTCATTTGTCTTTCTCCTTCCCTCCCACCCTGGAATAATTCCATCTCTCCATCCTTTCCACCTTCACACTACCTCTGCTGTCTGACTCCCATCCTCTTTTTCTCTTGCACTGCTCAACCACACAAAGCTTTGCTGCACTGCTCTGCCCTTTCCTTCCTCTTTGTCTCCCTACGACTCACATCTTCTGTGCTCTCTCTTAGCACCTCTTGCTCCGTCCTCTCTCCCGGTCCTCCTACAGTTTCCTTCCCTTCAGACCCCCTGCCTATCACCTCAGGTTACTGCTTCACACAGGTCTTCTCTTTCTTCTACCCCTGTGCAAGTGTACTGACAGCTTCTCCCAGGTCTGAGCCAGGCTTGTTCCTCTCCTGTACTCTCCCTGGCTCTTAAACAGTCAACAGCATTACCCACTCTCTGCTCCAGTTTATCCAAATACCCCAGAAACTGTATCCTCTGCCACCTTCTTTAGCCTTAACCCTTCACAGCTCCAAACCCTCACTTTCCTCCAGGCTCCTTTATCAAGACCTCCAATGTAAGCATCTTATAATTTCCCCTTGTCCCTAAATCCCACCCTTACGCACCTTTCTTCTTCCTTGTCCTCTGAATGGGAGAATCCAGCCAGCACCACAGCTAAATCTATCCTCAGCCTAAAAACCCTGATCTATACCTTTATTCCAGTGCTTTCACCATTAAGCTTCACAGCCTCTCACTCCTCCATCTCTATCCCCATTCCTCTGGTTGTGTTGCTGCTTCTGATGCCATGAATTGCACATTCCCTTTGAAATTGTATCCTATCCTTTCCTTTCCTTTCAGACCCTTGGACCAGGACCCCAGTGTCCTCCCTCTATTCCCACCCCAGGCACATTTTTAATCCTTCTTTGCCCTCATCTGTTCCCTGCCCTCTCCACATGTGAGTCTTCAGCAACCCTATCTACTCCTTCCTCCCATGTTAAGGACACAGATATCTCCTGGGTGACCTTCTGGAGACCACCTCATCTGCCTGGAGGGCTTCAGCTAACATCTACAGCTCTGCTGGTCCCCACTCCTGATGGATGTCTCTTCACCTTGCATCTCAGCCAACCCCTATCCTTTCCTAGATGAACTGAGTGCTGCTAACACCACCTCCTCTGATTCTTTTACTTTTCATTGAAAGTCCCTTGCATTTGCACATTCTGTTTTCCTACTGGAAACATCACTCCTTCTTGCTCAGCTTCTTTTGCTTCCACATCTCCAGCCTCACTTCACCACCACAAAACCACCAGTGGTCACAGAATTGTAACATTTAAACTGTTGCTGCAGGACATGCAGGAGGTGCGCATATGAGAGAGCATATAAGGATGCTGTGAAGGCAAGGAATTTTCCACTTGTGTTATATTTTCATACATACTTCAGACCATCTGTGAAAAGCTGTAAAATGACTAGTTGGAAACATATTATAAAATTGTGTTATTTTATATAAAACATTAATTTAGCAGACTCAGATCTGAAAACTCAGCAAAACTTGAACAGTTTTCTTGCGCTTCCCAATTTTGCTCATCTTTTAACAACAACAAGATCTCACAGTTTAATGTGACCCAGAATCTTCCCCTATGGTCTGTGACTCTTGAACCCACATTTGGCTGCTAGCTTGGCACATGTTACATTTTTCTGTAGTCTCAGGTCCATATGTGCTTGTTGATGCAGCCTGGAGTAATTTGTATGTACGTTCTCAAGTAAAGAAAAGTGAGGTGACACTTCATTATTTTGTTATGACACCTCTGGACCCTGAGATCAGTGCATTACTAAGTCTTTTTCTGGCTTGTTTGCAGTGTTCTTTTAGGTGCTTTTTGCATACTGTGTTGTTCTGCTATCTATATATTTGGACTCAAATTTCCAGCTTTGAACACTCCCTGTCCATTTGAACAGCATCCTTGATACACTTAAGTTAGCTTTGTAACAATCTCTTTCCTGCTTCCCAGTGCGAAAGCTTCTTATATCTATCTAGTTTCCAAATGCCATTTTGTGGCAATTCTGGCCTGGAGGAGACTGGCAGCTCTATGTTCCTGGTTTTCCCTATATGAAATTTCTGTATTTTATTTCCAAACTTCTGGAAAAAGAGACTGTGCTGTTAGCCCTCAATTGCCTTTTTTTTCCCCTTTATATAAAGCAGCTTGTCTTACCTGTGCTTACTGCAGAATTTCTTCTTCATGTCTGAATGCCAGTTGCTGAAAGTGTCTTTAAACACTTCTTGCACACCCTCTATGTGTGTGCCTTTTCCCTTGTGCTATCAATAAGTTCTTTTGTCTTTCCACTTCAAAACTAGCCATTCATATCTTTCCTGTATGTGTTCCACTGCAAAACAAATTCAGTTTAGAGCAACAGAGGGTGAGGGATGGGTACCCAGACTTTCAAATTACACAACACTATGCTTGATGCTGCTGTGGCAAGAGCTCTCCTGGTACATACACTGTCCCCCCGATCTGCAGTTGCTTCCATTGCAAACCCCTTTGCTTGGACAGCTAATCAGTAAATCTGAATATTTATAAAATGACAATTAAATGTTACTAAATCCACATTAAATCCACTGAAAACAGCTTAAATCTCCAATTTATGCCCACTTACTATGCCCCTTTTTCTAGGTTTCCTGCAGTGACAGTGGTCCATCACAATCCCTCCAGAGACACAACCTTCACATACATCGAGTTCCTATGTATTAATTGTGGTGGGAGTAGCTGGCTCCAGCAGGCAATGTTTTTCACTCAGAGCTTGTTTGCAGAACCAGAAATTAGTCTCCAAGGGTTTAAGACAGTCCCACAGCCTCATGCCCAACCCCAGGGAATCCACATTTTTCCTTTTTATAACTAGGTTTTGTTTCACACATAGACCTCTTGATAACAAAGCAGCAGCTGCGCAGAGCACAGAGTGAGTGAACAAGGATGTTTCTGGTGCAAGAGGGAAGAGCCAAAATGCACCTAAGGAAGGAGTCCAGGAAGGATTGGACAATCTTGTGTCTTGTGATTAAATTGTACTCCACATCAGGACTACTCAGATGGGAAGCACTTTCTAATTTTGGAAGACTGGAAAGTCGGATTGGGAATAGGAAACAGGGGATAACTAGGAGAGATACTGTGACTAGTACCCTCCTCTAGGGGGAGGAGTGTGCTGGAAAAGGACACACAGTTGGAGAATATGTCAGGGAACAGGTAAGTCCTTCAAAGCACAGGTTCTATTCCTGCAATATTCCCCATTAAATTTTCTATTGTAAGGCAAATATTTCTATGTGCACTGGCCAGCTCTTTGTGGTAACATCAGACATCAGGCAAATGTTTCCTTCTATTGTCTTTGCATCTCCCAAAGGACCTTTGGTTTGAGTTTCTTTGCCAGCAAATAAGCAGCAAATGCAGTTGACAGATCAAGATCAGTGATGATGGTAGGAATGAGTTGACCATGTTGCTGGTTGCTGTTTATTCTTCTCTGAACAAAGTACAACCAGTTTTCCCAGAGCTGCATGAACAGGAAGGACGAGCTGATCTCTACTTTAAGCATGTAATGAAAAGGGATGAAGTCCCAGCTTGAGAAATTTGGGCTGGGGATAAATGAAGATCACTTAAATTAAGACCCATTTCGCTCTTTACTTACTTACTCCTGTGTGGATTTCCTAAACCTAGGTGAACAGAATGTGTCTGGGAAATAGTGGCTGGTTTGCTTGGTTTGCCAGGGGGAAGTACAAGGTGAGCTCCACACTCCTGGTGTCCAGGCTGTTGGAGACACAAGCAAAGGAGGGTGCTCTCCTCCACTTTTGCTTGCCTGCACACAACAGGTAGGCTGTGTCCTTACCTCCTCCTTTTGGGCTTGGAAAGAACAGCACAAGCAGAGGGGAGATGGTCTTTCCACTCAATTCAATTAGCAGAGCCACTACATAGAGCAAAATTCCCAAATCATTGAGCTCACTTTCATATAAAACCCTTATATTTTCCTTTCCCAGAGCTGGATCGTTTGGAAAAGAGACAAGTCACTATACCCATGGACAAGCTTGTTGTGTTCTCTGTAGCAAGTCCATGGCTGGATTGGAGATTGCATTTTGTCTCAAAGCCTTTGAAGTGCAGTAGGCATTTAAAGTGGAGTGGTACATGCACCTCTGGGATGCCAACCTGCCAGATCTCACCTGGCTTGGACACCACAGCAGTGTCTTTGCTCAATGTGGAACAAGAATTTTTAGACCACAGACAAGCAAGAATGGACCGGACACACAGTTGCTGGATCTCCACTTCGTTCTTTCAAGATTTTTCCCCAGCCCATTCACTTGAGTTTGTGGATGTTTTCTTACTGCTCCAATTCAAGTGTGTACAGGCTTGAGAAATGCTGATGCAGGTCTTTGAAAGCCCTGAATGCAACTGATGGAGAGAACTGAACTCTCCCACCTGGAGAGACACAATTGTGTGTTGACACCTGAAGACCAAAGCATATGAATTCATTTTCTGCCTCTAGGAATTTAAAGGCAGGATGCAGCATTTTACTGCATCTCTGGTGAATCAGTGCCTGGCACAGCTTCACAAAGGACATGGGCTTGCCAGAAGCCAGAAGGGCTTGCAGACATGACATAGGACCATGAGAGATATCACTTATGCTGGAATAACAACTCAAGGAAAAGCAGGATATTGTCAACAGCAAGACTTTCATGATCTCTGTGGCAAACCTTGTCATGTCAGTCCAATGACACTGTTTATGAACCACACTTGCAGAAGCTCTACCTTTAAGAAACACAATGATGCTTTTGTTACAAACCTGGAAAACCACATGCTTTGAAAGAATAGCTCCTTTTAGGTCAAGAAAGCTTCTTTTAATTCACTTGGGGTAGCTGTATGCAAAAGAACCACAGAAAACTGCATGGGTACACAATCCAGATAGATCACATGGCGAGCACTGAAGGGAAATACAGACCTCCCTTTCTTCCCATCATTGTGTTTGGAATATGTTTCCAATTGCACTAGTCACAAAGCAATCAAAGAAACTTGTCTACAGTGGCAAACTGAAGATGCCCTATCAGACCACATTACAGGGTGCTACACAGTATTGAATCCTTAGTCACAACAGAAAAAAAACCATACACATGACTGTAGGCCACAATGCACTCAATTTCCACATGTCTTAACAGAAAAGAGAGCACACATCTTCAAAGAAAATGAAATCTGTCTTTGGAGGATTCCCACTAACACATTTCTTCCCCCTCTTACATCCTCACCCGGCATCCCACTTTCCCTTGCATGAAATGGGGAAGAAGGGAAGCCACCCCCTGCAGGACCCAAGAGGCAAAGAGCTCATCAGCCAGAGACCCTTAGCCCTCCCCAGACTTTCAGAAAGCTCCAGTTCCTGCACCCCATCCTTCATCATCCATCACCTTTATTAGTAGGCTGTTCCCTAGGTTTGAGGGAAAACAAATGCTTTGCTCATATGGTTTTGAGTGTGCAACATTTAGCATTCCCAGTCTTGGTCTGGTTGCCTGAATGTCTGCTGGTTTTAACAGTTCTGCAAAGGAAGACAAAAGCAAAATTATTAAACAATGCAGTCATGGACTCATGGTAATGTAACAGCTGGGGCTGGCCACCACCACAAGGAGCAGCCTGTCCTAAGTGGGCTCAGGACCTGCCGTGGGAGCCCTGGCTATGAATAGCTTATCTGGAAAGAGAACCAGTAACAGACTTTCTGTCAGGATCCAAAATCCATCAGAAATGACTGAAGCCTGTTAGTGCTATCTTCCAATACTTGTTATAAAATGAGTGCTATATCTAGCACTAAGAAACACTCTTTTTTTCATGAGGTCACTCTTGCAGCATGAGTAGAATAAGTAAAAACTGCAAAGGAAAAATCTTTCCTTTTTATAACTGCAGAGATACTCTGAAGATGGTCAGGCTAGGGAAGTAAACTCTCCTCAAGCTACAGCTGTTCTCTGACCTGAATGAGGTCTCCACGCAGACATCCCAGTGAGTGCTGCACAGCTGTCTGCTGAGCCTCTGGGAAGGTGTCTCTGCAGAAATTTGTCCCTTCGCTTAGCGGGCCAGGTGCTCAGGGAGGCGGAACTCCCACTGGGAGGGGTCGCAATCCAGCTGAAATCCCATCAGAGCGTGGTGGGGCGACTGTGCTAAAGGGTCCCGGAATGCTGGCAAATGGCGTTTAGACCCCGGCGCTGCCCGGCCCCGACAGCAGGTGCCACTGCGGGCCCCTGCCGGACCCCGCGCACCCCCGGGCCCCTCACCCCTGGACCCCTGTACATCCCCGGGCCCCTCACCCTGGACCCCTGTACATCCCCGGGCCCTCACACCCCTGGACCCCTGTACATCCCCG